ATATGTATATTTCTTGTGCATTTTCTAATTGAAATAGAACACGTTATTAAAAAAGCAACATGATTGCTTATTTATACAACACAAAAAATCTGTACTTATTATAATTTCAAATATTAATATATTAAAATATCAAAATATAAATGGTAATAATAAACATTTTATTTTCTTAAATTCATTTACTATTTATGTTGTAATAATAAAAAATATATTTAAAAACTAAAGATTTTTAAGCTGTGTGTGTGAGACTATTATATTATTAATAGCACAATTAATTGTATTTGCATAATTACAACAATAAATACATAGTTGTTTCAAAAAATGATTATAAATTATAGATAAATTATGGTAATTACAACTATTTTTTTCTCTCAATAATGATGATACCAACAACTGTTAAAACAACTAATTTTGACTTTGGGACAAGGTGAGACAGTACGTCTATTACATTGAACTCGCGTAAATTCTAATTTTAAAATAACGTGTCAGCATCAATTCGTTACTCGTAAAGACCAACTTGCCAACTAGAGTTTGCTAGTGTGTCATATGTGATTAAAGCCTAATCTACATGTATTTTTGCTTCCTGTTTTCTGCTTTTTATCTTATGCTTTTTTCCTTTTTTGCGACCGTATTCATTGTATTTCTTGTTTCTTTCGAATTTTGTCAACTTAAGTGACATAGGTACAAGTCATTATTTTATATATTACAATAATTCTAATCTTTTTAAATTTATATATTCTTTAAAATTAAAAAAAAATTTTTTAATTATTTTATATCAGTATACAAAAGTTATTATATGTAAACAATTCTTCTATTTAAACAATTAAATATTCTAAATTCTAAATGTGTAGATCATTTTAATCTTTGCCAGTTAACATCTCGTATTACATAATTATTTTATCGTAGACGTTATTTATTTTTATTTTAGTAAATTGTTGATTAATAAAAATAATTATATGACTAATAATAATAATTGTCTGCGTGAGAAAAACAAATTAGGTCAAAACGTGGTTCAAATTTTAGACAAAATAAAATAAATAAACGGCATAAAACCACGAATGCAAGATGTTAGTAGCGAATAAATATATATTTCATAAGTTACAATACATAGACGTTTCGGTCTTAAATCAGAACATCCTCAGTAATAAAAAAACCAAGTGAGAGTTATAAATACAAATCAAAATCCTCAAATGTTAAACAAAAAGTCAAAAAGGAAATAATAACTAGTAAACGCAAAATACAATGTTCTTGATGTAAAAAATTACATTGCATCTCCAAGAGTTCAAATTTGCAAAACAAACTGAATGGTTTTGCTTTGAAGGATGACTATAAAATTTTTTGTATCTTTTGATGTAGTTTCTATGTACACAAATATTCCTGAGGACTTAGTTGTCAGAAGTATCGAATTGAGATGGAACGCCATTTCGAATAATACTAGTATTCCGAAAAAAGAATTTTAAAAGCCATCTCTTTAATTTTTAATTCCACGTATTTTAAATTTGATGAACTTTTTTTTAAACAAATTTTTGGTATGCTCATGGGTTCTTCTATGTCTCCTATCTTAGCAGATATTGTATTACAGGATCTGGAAAGAGATTTAATGTCTCAATTGAATTTTAATATATCAATTTTTTACAGATATGTTGATATTATTTTAGCTGTTCCTACTAATTATATTAATGACATTTTACATGTGTTTATCTCATATCATGACAGACTGAATTTTACCTGTGAACATAATGACGATATATCTATTGATTTTCTAGATGTCAGCTTGAAAGTGGAGAATGGACATATTATTTTTGACAATTTTAAAAAACCAACTAATTCTGGACGATACCTAAATTACAATTCGAATCATCCTTTAGATCATAAAAGGGGGGTTATTATTAGTCAATTAGATAGAATAATTTTTTTATCACATCCTAGATTTCATACTAGAAACATTGAAATAATGATTAATATTTTTTTTAAATAATGACTATCCTTTAGACTTTCTCTTTTCTACGATTAATAAAAGAATTAATACTTTGTCGAGGCGAAAAAATGTATATAGCAATACTTGTTCTTGTCAGGATTCTAATGAGGGCAACTTTGATAATTTCTTCATTGTTCCTTACATTAAAGATGTCTCTGAAAAATTCAAATTTGTTGCTAAAAAGAATAACCTTAAAGTTGCTTTTAAACCTATGAATAATTTGAATTCTATCATAAAAACAGGTAAAGATAAATTGAAAACTATGGAACAAAGTAGTGTTGTTTACAAAATAGACTGTCTTGATTGTGACACGACTTACGTTGGCCAAACGAAAAGGAAAGTTGCGACCAGAATTTCTGAACATAAATCTAACTCTCAGAAATCTAGCAATTTACACACTGTCGTTACACAACACCAAGTTCAGCTGGATCATAATTTTGACTGGGATAACGTTAAAATTCTTGATATTGAACAATTTTACCACAAGAGACTGACTTCTGAAATGATATTTATTAAAAAACAAACTAACGGTATTAACAAGCATAATGATACAGAGAAATTTCCAGAAATTTATTTACCGTTATTAAACACTTCGTCCAAAACTTGATCTAGAATTTTCTACTAGCGACGCGTATGTTAACCCTTTGAAGCATACATTTTTCTTTATACGGAAAACATCCAAAATTTGTTATTCGGGGGTTTTTGGGGTCGCTGATTACGAATCTGAACTCAGATTTTGAAAATTCAAAATGGCGGATTCAAGATGGCCGACCAGATGGATTTACAAACCTCTTGCATGCAAAAAACTTATAAAAATGATAAAAAAAATATATAAAAATACAAAAAAAAAATTTAAAAATATTAAGAAAATAAAAAAAATTTTTTAAATGGAGACAACAACCACCACGTCCACGCTCGTGTCTCTGGATTCGACTGAGAGCGGTTTATTTTTGGAATACATTAGAGATTATATTTGTTCGCCATATTCAAATATAAAAATCTGTGACCAAATTCGTGATTCGCGACCCCAGAAATCCTCGACTACCTCGTAATTTCACTTCGAAAAATTAATTTTTTAAAATTCGGTCCGTAATTTTGGATCCGTCAATTGAAATTTTGAAAATCTGAGTTCAGATTCGCAATCAGCGAAAACTCTCATGTACCCAATTTCGTCATGTTTGAGTGACGTTTTCGTTCCAGCATACATTTTTTGTAAAAAAACCCATCATTTTTACACTTTGTTTATTATTTTAAACAATATAACATAATAAATAATAATAAATATTGATTTATTTATACTTCCTAACATGTTCTCGAAATAAGGAAGCAAAAAACTGCAGCAAAATTAATTAATAATTATCTGAAATATGTAAAAAATGAATTACAAAAAGGTGTCCATCTGGATGGACACCATGCTTTAAAGGGTTAAGTTGGCACCCCAATATTGAAATTCTGTAGTTCTGATTAGAGTTCCCGTTTCCTTTTGTCCAGACGAAGAGTTCTCTATATTTTATAACTAGAATTCCGCTTAAAGCGATGCTAAAGCTCCCTGTTTTACCACATTTCTATTCGGTGAAAAATCTCTGTATTGGATGTACGGATTGCAAAAGTATTATTACTTAAATTATAGTA